ATTCTTATACTCAGTACTGTCTTAGGGTAAAACTGTTCTAATTACAGTACTTGTTGAAATCTACTGTAAGATCTCCAGCAGTATTCTTATACTCAGTACTGTCTTCGGGTAAAACTGTGCTGATTACCATACTTGTTGAAATCTACTGTAAGATCTCTAGCAGTATACTTATACTCAGTACTGTCTTAGGGAAAAACTGTGCTAATTACCATACTTGTTGAAATCTATTGTAAGATCTCTAGCAGTATACTTGTACTCAGTACTGTCTTAGGGTAAAACTGTGCTAATTACCATACTTGTTGAAATCTACTGTAAGATCTCTAGCAGTATACTTGTATTCAGTACTGTCGTAGGGTAAAACTGTGCTAATTACCATACTTGTTGAAATCTACTGTAAGATCTCTAGCAGTATACTTGTATTCAGTACTGTCTTAGGGTAAAACTGTGCTAATTACCATACTTGTTGAAATCTACTGTAAGCTCTCTAGCAGTATACTTGTAGTAGATTTCAACAAGTATGGTAATTAGCACAGTTTTACCCTACGACAGTACTGATGTAAGATCTCTAGCAGTATACTTGTATTCAGTACTGTCTAGGGTAAAACTGTGCTAATTACCATACTTGTTGAAATCTACTGTAAGATCTCTAGCAGTATACTTATACTCAGTACTGTCTTAGGGTAAAACTGTGCTAATTACCATACTTGTTGAAATCTACTGTAAGATCTCTAGCAGTATACTTATACTCAGTACTGTCTTAGGGTAAAACTGTGCTAATTACCATACTTGTTGAAATCTACTGTAAGATCTCTAGCAATATACTTGTATTCAGTGCTGTCTTAGGGTAAAACTGTGCTGATTACAGTACTTGTTGAAATCTATTGTAAGATCTCTAGCAGCATACTTATACTCAGTACTGTCTCAGGGTAAAACTGTGCTGATTACAGTACTTGTTGAAATCTATTGTAAGATCTCTAACAATATACTTATACTCAGTACTGTCTCAGGGTAGATTCTTAAGATGTCCATGATGGCAAAGATTGAGTTTCCTTATTTAAAAAAAAACATGATGTTTTATTTTAAAATTTTATTAGCTTAAAAACTTGTTTATGTTACAGCCAGTCTCATTTGCTGTAGGATCAGCTTCCACTATCCTAGAATAGGGGGGTCCATGAAGGAGAAAGGTTGAGAATCGTTGTTTTACATCATCTTGAGGTCTGAAGCTATTGTACAAATAAGAAATGTAGGATGTGAGATGGAATAGTGGTGTTTAATATGTGTAGATACACTGTTTATACACTGGTGAAGACCTGTCTAACGTGTGTAGATACACTGGTGAAGGCCTGTCTAACACGTGCAGATACACTGGTGAAGACTTTGGTGTTTAGTTTGAAGACTGTGTTTTATGATTTGTAAGGAGACAGTTTGTTTGTGTTGTTACAAAGACTGTTTTATAGTTTTTGAGAGGAGTGTGATGCCTAATAATTAGGACTGTTTGGTCAGTGTTGAATTATGGGAGGTATACTAGATTTCTGACTGAAAGCTACATTTATTAGTTGAACCAACACAGTGTTTACAGGTAGATGATTTGTGAAATTTGATTTATTCTCGCATAAACTTGGATGATTGGAACAATCATAAATGGTTATTATTAAAAACTCTAATTTTGAGTTAGTCAAAAATAACAAAATCATAATGACAATGTTTTAATTATTTGGATAGTTGTAATGATTGAAAACACTAACTTTAGACTAGTTGCTTATTTCATAACATTAATCAATTTAATAGTAATTTCAATTAACTGATTATCTTGCATAACACTAATTAATGCCCATAAGTAATCAAGTTAATTGCCTACCTCTAAATTGTTAATTAGATATATTGTTAATTTAGTGTAACAGTTGTTTTGTCATTCATCTTCTGTTCATCAAGTAAACTGGGATTTTCAGAATTAGCGATAGGAAATTGGTTTACTTGCTCAGGGTTTTATGTATATGGGCTTGGTTTCTTCTACAGTAGGTGTCTGTGATTTGTTGGCAATAAATTTGACAATAAACGGGCAGTACACACTCCACTTGTTTTAAAATAATATTCAAAACAAGTCAAACTATGTACAAAATTCTTTACACTATGGATATCACAGTTGTATCTCAAACTTTAAATAATTCTCTTTTCTTGTCAAAAGTCCACTCAGGTTAATTCAATTACTTTAGAATCCAATTGAGAAGACAAACCATTTTTCTCTATTCTTATCACAATAGTATTGGGTAATAATTCACTAGCGCTACCTCGTGGGTTATCACAGTTGTATCCTGAACTTCAAATAGTAATCTCCTTTCGTCAACAGACAGGTTAAATTACAACCTTTGACAAAACAACTCACTTTAGAATATTGCTCGTTATGGCTAATCACTCGCGTATCAGCTGACTTCACGTTTTCTTTCACTGACTAAACTGCACTTTCTTTACTTCATAATTCTTGACTTGCACTCGCTTGGCCACCTATATATGTGTCATCAACAATATTAGTAAAGCCTAGACAACAACGTAATTGTAAACACAACTTATGAGTTGTAAGGAGTTACACAACCAAACTTGTCATGACTATTGCCTTTAAAACAATTACTTTTACTCTCTTGGTAGGAAAAGTAAATTTAAATATTAAGTTTCCAAATCAAACAAATTAATAACACACTAAATAGTCTTGTAAAAATTAATTTAAATATTAAGTTTCCAAATCAAATGAATTAATAACACACTAAATAGTCTTGTACATCCAACAATTATTTTTATAATTTTACTTATTTAAAAGAAAAAATTGTCAAGGGCTTTCTGAATTTGAGCACAATTTATCTATTTTTATAGTTAATTATTTTTTATATTTCACTGTAAGGTTGTTAATAGTCCTGATTCTTTTCACTAAAGGACTGGATAATTGTATGACTTCTTCATTGGTTGAAATTTGGCTGTGTTTATGTTCTTACGCCTAGAAACACCATAGCACTGCCTTTTGTTTCTGGGCCCAGGAGTACTACAGTATTGTCTGTCATTTCTGGGTCTGAAAACACTGCAGGGCAGAAATATTTGTTTGCATATTTAATAAAACTTTCTTTGCAAATCTTACCAAAGAAATATGACAAAATAACCACCTTGAAAATATTTTTACATAAATAAATAATTTATTTAGTTGTATACCCAACACCTGAAAGGTGCTCACCAGTTCGGATAAGGTGGAAAGGGGGTGTTCGGATAAGGTGGAAAGGGGGTGCTCGCCAGTTCGGATCAGGTGGAAAGGGGGTGCTCCACTACTACATTCACAACATTCATATTACCGTTTTAACAGAAAAGCTTGTTTCATTAAAGTGTAACTTATTACAGTTATTTTTTTTTATGGTGTTGACGAGACACATAAATTACTATAGTTCTGATGGTATGTTGTTATATTAAGTATTTAAAAATGTATGGTCATAAGATTTTGTGTTGTGTTTTAGACAAAAAAAATTAGTTTTGATGGGAAAAATTGATCTTGTCTGTTTTTAAAATAGAAATGGGGAATCAAATTGTTTGTGTTTTCTGTTTTTGAAAGTGAGGAATCAAATTGTTTTAATATTTTCCACTTTTGACAGGAAGCACTTTAATGTTTAATGTATTTTTATTAGTGTTATAACTATTTTTAGGATACTGTTTACACCAATAGGAGTATACTTTGGTTTGAAGGCAACAAGACCTAAGAAAGCACCAGAGAATCCTGTCCTGGAAAAAGCTTTTAAAGCAAATGGCCGAATACCTTACAAACAGGTAAGAACAAATGACCGTGTAAAGAAAATTAGGAATACCTTACAAACAGGTAAGAACAAATGACCGTGTAAAGAAAATTAGAATACCTTACAAACAGGTAAGAACAAATGACCGTGTAAAGAAAATTAGGAAAGCCTTTCATGCCATTGAACAGTCACTAACTCAAATACGTAAAGCTAACTTGTTCGGGTCTTTCTCTGTTGTAAGAACATGTATGTAGCTGTATACGAGGTATGAGATACCATTAGGATACGTACGGCACTCGCAGAGGTTGTTGTCATTGTTTTGTAACCCTCTAAAGAATCTATCCTTTAATCTTAAAATGTTAGCACAGCTGTGCAGTGTACAGGCAGTATTAACACAGTTGTTTGTCATATAGGCTACGAACCATAATGATACAGGATTTATACAATTGTTAAATTCTCAGTATAGTTCATACATAGTGTAAAAGTAAAATATTTTTAGTATAGGGTAGCTTTTTTTATAGATATATAAAATTTTAATATTACGTAGAACATGAAAAAAAACAGCAACACAACCACAAATTTTAGACACTTTACAATAAGGAGGGTCACATTTAAGTACTGACCCTCCTTGAGGATCCTAAGGTTACATGCCAGGTTTTATAACTATTAGTTCAGTGCTTCACCACTTATAAGTGGACACAAAACAAACAGAGGAGACATAAGGGGGTCATATATTACCCCACCCCCCGTGGAAGCTCGTGGGAGAACCCAAGGGTACATGCTAGGTTCAACGATAATCGATCTAAATGGACACAACACTCCTGGGAGAAAGTCGTATGGGTGTCAACTCTCGGTGCTGAAATTCCTACTTCACTCCCCAGGGTGTCCCTAAAAGTACTTGCCAGGTTTGGTGACAATTGATCTAGTGGTTCAACAATAGTAAGTGGACACAAATTTTGGTCAAATAATGGTTTAGATGTGTCACAGCCATACAGGCTGCATAAAAAGTACAAAAATGACTTTGCTATTAAATCAGTATGTCTGAATGTGTATTTTTTTCTGAAATTTTCAAATACAAAAAGGTAAAAATAAAAAAAAAAAACTTAAAATTAAACACTCTCATTGAACTACATAAAATTTGTGTAATACTAATACAATCATGGAGCTGTTATAAATTGTATACAGTGTATGATTGGAAGAAAAATGGCTCTTAATACCTTTGTGATTTGAAATGATAGATACAAGGTCTGGCAAAGCAGCTGGACTGGTCTGGAAGAAAGGTGGAGAGATGGTTGAGACAACGAACAATTCAAGAAAAACCACTAACAATCACAAAGTTCACAGAGAGTTTGTAAGTATCAAACTGTTGTTTTCCCTGAAAGTTTTGTTGGAAACTTTTTATTAATTTGGACCAAATTTAGAGAAACAAAAATTCACACCAGTGATTAAAGAAGCCTGAGATATGTGCATTAGTTTCTAGATATTTATAAAAAAAATTGTTTGAAAAATCTGTGAAAATAGTGATATTTAATTGGATGTTCTTGTGTATTGTTTGTTAAACAAGTAAATTTTTTTTTATTAGGATTTTAATAGCATAGACTCAATGTTCTTATGATCTTCTAACTATAAAAACATCTTCCACCTGAAATGACAACCAAAGTCTTTTTAACCTCAGTTTATAGTTGTATCCTTTAAATTCAGTCTGGCATTCATATATGAAATCAGGGTTAACATCTTCACAATGACAGCTTAGGGCCAAATGTTTGTATGATCCGATTCAGTAGTACCGAATACAGAGCCTGAAACATCTCTATCTTGGCAGCATAGGGCAAAATGTTTGTATGATCTGATTCAGTAGTACCGATTACAGAGCCTGAAACATCTCCATCTTGGCAGCATAGGGCTAAATGTTTGTATAATCTGATTCAGTAGTACCGATTACAGAGCCCGAAACGTCTCTATCTTGGCAGCATAGGGCTAAATGTTTGTATAATCTGATTCAGTTGTACCGATTACAGAGCCTGAAACATCTCCATCTTGGCAGCATAGGGCTAAATGTTTGTATAATCTGATTCAGTAGTACCGAATACAGAGCCTGAAACATCTCCATCTTGGCAGCATAGGGCTAAATGTTTGTATAATCTGATTCAGTAGTACCGAATACAGAGCCTGAAACATCTCCATCTTGGCAGCATAGGGCCAAATGTTTGAATGATCTGATCCAGTAGTACCGAATACAGAGCCTGAAACATCTCCATCTTGGCAGCATAGGGCCAAATGTTT